TATGTTTAATAAATTTTCACTGGAAGAGTTACTTGTCTGAGTCAATTAACATGAATGAGTTTACTTGTCATAGTTTTATGCAGGAACCTTTCAAATCTATTCCTCTTATATGGACCATCCATGAAAGAACTCTTGCTGTTCGTTCTAGACAATTCACTTCAAGTGGGCAGATTGAGTTTGTGAATAATTGGAAAAAAGTTTTCGGCCGTGCTACTGTTGTTGTCTTCCCAGACTATGCCCTTCCGGTAATATTTATTAGATAATCATTTGGTCAATAGTTCATTGTTAACATATCATTGTCTAAAAGGGGTGAAAGGGATATAAGTTTTATTTAGCCCCGTTGAGAAGGTCTGACCAATGGGATAAGTGCTTGCAACTGAGTGATAATGCCCTATTTGTTATCCTAGTAATAGGTTAAATTATGAGCCAATTCCTACTTCAACACCTAGTTCCTTTGACTTTAGTTTCCCACACTCATGCTTCGAGAGTGGCTTTTAACTTGGGATTTATTTCTAGTGATTTGATTTCTTTCTCTACCTTCTGCAGATGATGTATTCTGCATTTGATACTGGAAACTATTATGTTATTCCTGGTTCTCCTGCTGAAGCATGGAAAGGAGAGAATGCAATGAATTTGTACAAAGATAATCAGCGTATGAAGATGGGTTATGAACCTGATGAAGTTCTCATTGCAATCGTTGGAAGTCAATTTATGTACCGGGGCTTGTGGTTGGAGCATGCTCTTGTTTTACAGGCTTTATTACCACTCTTTGCTGACTTTTCATCTGATACTAATTCAAATTCCCATCCCAAAATTATTATTTTAAGCGGTGACTCAACAAGCAACTACAGCCTGGCTGTTGAGGTACAGTCATAATCACTTTATCGAGTGCTATGGATAAATTTATGTGTGGACATATGTTTCAAGCTTCTCATTAATTTACTCTGTTTCATGCATCTTCCTTTTCCCCAGAGAATCGCTCATAACTTAAAATATCCAAGTGGTGTGGTGAAGCATGTTGCTGTTGAAGGAGACGTTGACAGTGTTCTGAGCATGACTGACATTGTGATATATGGCTCATTCCTTGAGGAGCCATCATTTCCAGAGATTTTGATAAAAGCCATGTGCCTTGGGAAACCAATCATAGCACCAGATCTCTCCAATATCAGGAAATATGTAAGCTTCCAATGTTGTTTCCTTTTCATACATCTGAGGTTCATTAGGCAAACTACTGACTGTATTGGCAATAACCGTTAGGTTGATGACAGGGTAAACAGCTATCTTTTTCCTAAGGAGAATATTAAAGTTTTGACACAGATTATATTGCAAGTGATATCAAAAGGAAAATTGTCACCATTGGCACGGAATATTGCTTCAATTGGAAGTGGAACTGTTAAAAACTTGATGGTTCGGGAAACTGTTGAAGGCTATGCCTTGCTACTGGAAAATGTTCTCAAGCTTCCATCAGAAGTTGCCCCTCCTAAGGCAGTTATGGAACTTCCTTCAAAGTTAAAAGAAGAATGGCAGTGGAATCTATTTGAAGGTTTTCTAAATTCTACATTTGAAGACAGGAGTTCCAAATTTTTAAACAAGTTAGAGGAGCAGTGGAACCATTCTCAAAAAGAGAGGTCTGGTTCATTAGCTGACATGAACAATTCATTTTTGTATGAGATCTGGGAGGAAGAGAAAAAGATGCAGATTATCAATATTAAAAGGAGAAGAGAGGAGCAAGAGGTAAGAGTTGTTGTGGGCAATAGTATGTTATCCAAAAATTCAGTTGAACAATTTCGGTTTAATTGATGAAGTTTCATGCTCTTTCTAATATGTTAGTTGAAAGATAGAACTGATCAACCTCGTGGCACCTGGGAGGATGTATATCGAAGTGCCAAGAGGGCTGACCGCTTGAGGAATGACTTGCATGAAAGGGATGAAAGGGAGCTTGAAAGGACTGGCCAACCATTATGTATCTATGAACCTTACTTTGGTGAAGGAACCTGGCCTTTCTTGCACCATAATTCTCTTTATCGTGGAATTGGATTGGTGAGTTAGTGAAAGCATCAAATTGGGTTTGTATTTTTGTTTTATGCCACTTATGGATTTACTTCAAATGAAATTAAGAAATTTAAATAATTGGATATCCATTTCTTCTTTTATCAAGGAAATAAAAGTTGTAAAAAGAGTGCATGTGTGGGATCTAATCCTTAATTTTGATGATTCTGCATAAAGCTGTGGCACCTTTATACTCTAGTCTGATTTAAATACGTTCAATGGGTGTTGCAGTCCACTAAAGGTCGAAGGCCAAGGATGGATGATGTTGATGGACCGTCTCGTCTGCAACTTCTTAACAACCCATACTACCGAGACACTCTTGGTGAATATGGGGCCTTTTTTGCGATTGCTAACCGAATTGACCGCCTACACAGGAATGCCTGGATAGGATTTCAGTCATGGAGAGCAACAGCTAGGAAGGTATGGCAATGGGTGACCCCCCTCCCCCTCCCCTTGCCTTGTTTCTTCTTGCTTCTTTCTTTTGCTTCAGAAACCTCTTTTAGCTCTACATGTTAAAACCATCTTTTCTTTTTGTGGGGTTAATTGGTGAGAACTTAGCAAAACACCTAAATTGAAATGTATTTTGTTTTCTACTTGTGCCCTTGACTCTTTCATATCTGATTGTGGGACAATAACAGGCATCCTTGTCTAAGATTGCTGAAACTTCATTGTTAGATACCATTGAAAAGCGCAAGTATGGTGATGCACTATACTTTTGGGTTCGAATGGACATGGATCCAAGAAACAGCATGAAGGGGGACTTTTGGTCATTTTGTGATGCTATAAATGCTGGAAATTGCAAGTAAGAGCTATAAAGTCTATCACTTATTTCAAATGCAAAAGCATGAAATTGTACAAAAATGCATAAATATATTTATTGTATTAGCTTATTTGCTTACCTCATTTATCATTTCGTTGCAGGTTTGCTTTCTCTGAGGCTCTTAATAGGATGTATGGCATAAAGCATGATTTGATTTCTTTGCCACCCATGCCTGAAGATGGGGGCACATGGTCTGTTATGCAGAGTTGGGCCTTGCCAACAAAGTCCTTCCTAGAGTTTGTTATGTTTTCAAGGTGAGAGTTGTTACACTTAATGGCTTCTATGTGAACAGTTTATAATATGTCAACTGGTAACATGTCTCCTTTGCAGGATATTTGTGGATGCATTGGACGCGCAAATGTATGATGAGCACCATCAAAGTGGTCACTGTTGTCTGAGTTTCTCAAAGGTAACTTGCTTATGGGGATTGATCTTAAGAGATAAGTTTAAGTTCAGTATTTGCTCCATTTCTTATTATGAAAATTAATATGAAATGGCCAGGGAATAACGGTTTATTGAACTCTCTGTAGTCTTTCCTAATCCAGTTAAAAGTCATATGGATAGCAGACTATAATTTAAATTGCCCAGACAGTTACTAAATGCTATTCAGAATTTGAGTGATGAATCCCATCAGGATGCTGCATTTTATACAGAAGTAGATCTCACCTCTTCCACACTCCTTAAAGAGAGTGGATTCCTTGTTCAGAAGGCAATCGATTTCTGCAGTATTCAAAGTAGTATTTTTGTTTTCTACAGGACAAGCATTGCTACTCACGGGTGCTGGAGCTACTTATAAATGTCTGGGCATACCACAGTGCAAGGCGGATGGTATATGTGAACCCTGAGACTGGTGTGATGCAAGAATACCACAAGTTAAAGGGTCGGAGAGGAATAATGTGGGTCAAATGGTTTTCATTCAACACTTTAAAGGGCATGGATGAGGATTTGGCGGAGGAGGCAGATTCTGACCACCCAAAAAGACGATGGCTATGGCCATTGACAGGGGAGGTTGTCTGGCAAGGTGTACTTGAGAGAGAGAGAAATCTCCGCAACCGACAGAAAGAGAAAAGGAAGCAAAAAAGTAAGGATAAACAAGAGAGAATGAGGCATAAACACCATCAAAAGGCATTGGGGAAGTATGTGAAACCCCTTCCAGAAGAGATGGAAAATTCAAATTCAACAATAGTAACATCAGAGTAATTTCACGTGTGTTTTGCATCCTTGGCGTTAGAATCTAATTTGATAATTCTTTAATTTTTGATATTTTTTTTCACCTTTTCTTTTTCTTGTATGTCTTATTTTTGTCAGAAAGGATGCCTTATTTTGTGTACATGAGAGTCCTTTTGTATGTAGCTAACCGCATCCTTCTGGTCATTGACGTTCATGAATGGCTCAATTGTATACTAGTTTTTTTTCCCTCAATTTCAGATTCTATTCCAGCACTGAAATTAACTTCTCCTTCTACCCATGGTTTTTCACCCTGAGCCGAGGTAATTGGTGGTTAATAATTTGCTGTGGGGATCCAATGCATGTGAGCTTCACTTATTGGTCGGGTGCATAGGGAATCGGTACATGTAACACGTTGAACTTTGGGTCCGATCCTGGCAGAAGCACTCGAGAAAATGGTGAAGATCATACAATTCCTATTGATGGTAATAGTAGCACGGATACCATAAGTAGCAATAAATCAAGGTAGCAATATTCATTGGCCCAAAAATAGCAGCAACATTCAGTGTTTCTCTCTTTATTGTATGTTGGGGATTCATGGAACGTGAATAATTACTACCAGAATCCAAATGCAGTGGGGAATAGGGGGAAAATTGATTACAGAAGGAATAAATTGCTAAAAATTATAATGAACAGCCATACGGTAAGAATTCTTTTCATACTGATAGGCAATCAAGCATTAATCTTCACTTATCAGTATGAAGTACTGACTCATTTACAAACTCGTAGTTAAAGGATACTTTCCTGCTTTCCTGCCAAGCAATGAAATTCTTTTTGCTTTTTCTTTTTAGCATTTTAATGCGTTTCACCACTTGTAACTCTATCCGCAATGTATCAGAAATCTGTAATTTTAATCTCTACAAGAAGGGAAATGTTAGGTACATTCAAGGATGATCATTCCTACTTAGCAACTACTGTATATAATACTTTTAACACTCATGCCGGGTAGGAGAACAATCGTACGGACAACTCAAGAGAGTCAAAACTTTGGGGCAAATAGACCTCATGATGTCAACCATAAGGGTCATACATTCACTGAAGTGTTTTTAAATGGAAAAGAAATAAAACAACACTAGAAGTAGGTGTTGCATTGGTTGAGCAGTTGATCCCTAAGTAAATTGCTGACCTATACTCGCAACCCACTGTAACCTTATGGGCTTGACTCCACTTATCCGTGACAAAGAGCTGAGCAGTGGATTATCAGAATAGAATCTAAAGATCACTACTGCTGAAGCATTACACTTCATATCAGAATCTTGGAGCTGCACATCAAAACACATCGCACATCACAAACAATCTCAAAATATGAGAAACAAACAGAAGACAAAAAATTAGTAACATCATTATGTAGCCTACCTCCACCAATGGTTGCTTCAGGAAGTCGTTCAATTGAATATTTGTGCTGAGTGATGTACATGATTGGCACACCAGGAACCTGCCAATAAACAAGTAACTTTTATCCTAGTTAACTTTCAAATGCAGCACCAACTCCACTAATTGATCATACCTTACGAATCCTTCGCTTTAAATCTCGATCACATGTAGCAACAATAAAGCATTTGTGCTGTTTTCGACGAAATAGGTCATGTAGTGAACATGAGAATAATATAAAAAGTTATAAAACAATTTGCAGAATGCATAAACTTCAAAATTGAAAGGAAAATTTGCATAAAAAACAAGTGGAAACGAAATTAGTTATAAATTCAAACTGAAAACACGCATATCTTGTTCACACGATTCCCAATCCAAACCGTTTATTAACAAAAATATGCAAAGCGAAGCATGAGAGTAACCTATGCCTGGCCATAACAAATTCTAGAGCAGCAACAATACAGCAGAGTCGATTTATCCCAGACCATTAAGCCAAATAAACAGAAAACAGAGGTCCCAAGATGTTATGGCAGGCCATCCTTAATAATCAATGTTATTATTGAATCTTTGTTCAAAATTGGACTATGACTGCACAAGCTACATAGCATAGACAGAGTCTTCGAGGAACTCAAAGCAAGTCCAAAAATTTCAAATCCTAATAAGTCCATAGCTATAAAGTGCTATACTCCAAATAATGTTTATTCAATGGGAAAACAAAAATGAACAACAAACATTAATGCTTGATGGTGGTACCTCTTGATTTGTTGTTACTACCCTTGATGCAAGACCATCATGCATGCCTTAAGCAGTGCGTTACAGGCCAAAATATCATGTAAATAATTCAAGAAAACAGACAATTTAAATCCTAAAACTTTTTTTGAGGGCAATTGTCCAATGTTCACGGAAGGAGTTATGCTAGTATATAATTTCACAACAGATACCAAGAAGTTCATGCCTGTGTAACTCTCTCAACAATACAGTCATCCGCATAGGTTCCTTTATGAGTGCATGGCAGTCTTTCAAAACGAGGATCCTTAGCAATCCTGCCAGAGAGAGATGTTAGAACACTTGTTAGCTGTATAAGGAAAAAAAAAATATCACTAGTAAATTACGCAGAGATAGTCATCCCCATCTGGAAAAAATGAAGTATGCAATAACAGAGGTTCAGAAATAGTTCTTCAAGTAAGTCATGTATTGGACTACCAATAAATGAAAACAAGGTTCTAGCAAAACATTAGGGGCAAAATTAAGAAATAAAGAATGCAATTTTCAGATACATTGAGGCCAGATAATTAAAAAAAAAAAAAAAAAAGACATCGCAAAGGGATATTGCGGATAAAGAGAACTCATGGGACTGTACCTCAGAGCTACACGGTATTTTTGACCTAGCTTTTCAAGTTCAGCCATCACACAGTCCGTGATACAAGGAGTGCCTTCAAATACAAAAAGTAGACAGAATCAGCAAAAAAACAGGCGTGTGAGTAGAAATAACAGATTACTTAACACTTCTTGAAGTGTGCTTGGAGCATGTCATGAACAAATAGTCACGATCACATTGCATAAGAGTAAAGTTCCCGAATGAATAAAGAAAATCCTCACACTATAAGAAATAAAAGCAATATACACTACGCATTCAAAGTAATAATCGAAAAGCAAAACAACTTCATGACTCACATTTTGCATATAAGCAGTCCATCATTCCCTTCTCCAAATCCAACTACCAAAGGAAAAACAAAATGTTAAGAATTAACAAAAAACAATGGAGTAAGCATGACTCAAAACAAAAACTGTCATAACTAAATAGGTATGTGGGTTGAATTAATATTATAATTTTTACTTTGAAAGTGTATTATAATAGCCATTTAATTAGAAACATAACTTTATAATCGTAGTTAAAATAAATACATCAAATTCAAGAGGGCAACAAATATTAGCACTGACTTTGTTCTGGATGGAGAAATTGATGAAGTTGGTATCCACCAAAACCCGATAAGGGGGTCCCAAGGAGGTGTTGTACGTGAAGAAAAGCGCTGAAGAAACATTCGGCCTAATTCACAAATCAATCCAAAAATCAAAAGGAATCAATAAAATCTGAAGTTGTTAAATTTCAAGAAAGAGAGAGAGAGAAGAATTAGAATTAGCATACAACAATATAAACAAGCTTACACATTTCTGGGGAGTTTTTCCTTGCTCAGGTCTTTCTTGTTAGGATTCAAAACTTGTTCCTTGTAACTGAAATTTGACAGAAAGCAAGAGTTAAACATGGTCATTATAAGAGTAACTAAAGTAAAAGCGAGAGTTAGAGAAAGGGGGAGGCTTAAAAAGAGCTTGCTTTTTAATAGCTTTTTGAGTGACTATCTTCTTCATGCCAGCAAATTTTTGGGCCTTCTTTGCTTTTCCCATCGCTTCCGATTGAAGCCTGCAAAATCAAAAGCGCCGGAAACCTAGAACCCGAACAGGTAATCCTTCGAGCAGTTCAGGAATTTTCTGTATAATAAGAGTGGTCTGATAAAGGGGCGGGCGAGAGAGCAGTTTTCTGTCAGGTCGGTTTGACAGGGGAACACGAAGGCTGAGTGCTCGATCAGGGTCAGGGTTTTGGGTTTTGAAAGAAACGAAGGAAATACCCGATACAAGGAGTGGAGCCCCAGGCCCAGGGCTAGCTTTAAGTTGGGTGCTCGCAAGTGGATATTGGTGAACCGACCCTGCATTGGGTTGGTCTTGCATGACTGCCTCAAAAAGGCCCAAAAGCTTTAAACTTAAGCTTTTTCTTGTTAAGCCCATCTATACACCATGAATTCTGATTTTCTTTTAATCAGATTACCGTGAACTTTGAAGACTCGGGACTTGGAGGAATTTTATCAAAAACTTATACAATATATAATTGAAAATTTGAAGTTTCAAGTATAAACAATTAAAATTTGGCAAATTAATTTGCAAATTATCCAATAATATTTTATAATGTAAGTCATTCAATGTAATTAAAATTCTTATTGCTTATAAATTATTCAACACTATTAGAATTAAGTTGATTATTTTTTATAAAAAGTTATTTAATATAATAATAATTTTTATTTACAAATTAGATAAATTATATTAATATTTTTAAATAAAAAATATTTACAATGATAATTTAGAATTATAATTTTTACGTATCAAAAGTTATATCAACATCTTTGTTTTAATGTTTGATATAAATATAAATATATTTCGCTATTTATCTTCTACATGGTATAAATTGCTTGTCAATAATGCAAAGAAAAGTATATATTTAAAACATATAGTGCTAGGTAGCATCTTTCATTTAAAATTATAGTAAAGATAAAAGGAGGAGCAAGATTTTTGTTTAGTCCCATTAGATTACATTAAGTTAATAAAATTTATTTAACTTTTGGAACTATAGTTGCCCCCGTTGCATGCCTCCATGTTGTTTCATGAGAAAGTCTTCAGACCACGTCTTTGATTTTGGAACTGTACCCACTCTGAATATCATTGCACCTATCCCATAGCATGACTCCGCCATACTTGGCAGAAGCCTTGACGAAGGGCAGCAACTGGGTTCTAAGATCATTACTTGGCACATAACCACTGTCAGCTGCCGCATGAGAGGCTGGAAGCCCGAGGCAGAACTTGTCAGCTTTGATAGAAGAGGTCCATTTGTTCCATGAATCCTTGAAAGCTCCAGGATTGCTGGAGCTGAATTGGCATAGAGGGTTGTTGCAAAATTGGACCCAGACATAGTCAAGTAGCCCTGTCCGAAGTGCACCATTGAGCCATTGGTGGGGGAAAGGACGTAGCGGGGCTGCGGTTAAGTACACTTTCTTTCCACCTTGGCTGAGCTCGGTTAATCCCCTGGCCAGTGCAGCGTAGTAAGGTTCCTCTCTCTCAATGTCAAAGTCCATGCCATCCAGAACGGCACTCCCTAGAGGTCGAGAGATTGAACTCCCACCTAGAATATTGTTCCACAGATAGACAGCAGCACTCCTGGCATCATCAGCTGATGATAAGTAGTCACCGGCACCACCCCCAATCGAGAGCATGACCTTTATGCCTCGGTTTTGGCAGTTTTGGATGCCTTTGCACAACTTTTGGCAACCATTTGACGCTGGATCACAGTGACCAGCTAAGTTGATTTGAGGCTTACGGACATTGCCAGAGGTTGAGAGAAATGCTATGTTTACTATTTCATATTTTCCTGAATAACATGTGTCAGTGAGTGTGCCCTCTTGCTCGTTTTGGCCCCAATAAACTACCACACACCCAGCTTCTGATTTGAAAGAGGAAGCGAGCAGAATATTCAAGAGGAAGAGCATAGCGTGGTTTGAGCAAAGTTTGGCATCCACGGTTGAACTAAAGTTTCCTCTATTGAGCTTGATAGACGGGCTCCCCTTGGATCAGCCATCTAGAGATAGGGGGAGTCAAAATGAGAGATATTTTTGCATTTCTAGTCAACCTTATCCGCGGGCTTCGTTAGTGAAACAAGACGGCCCACCAGTAAACGTAGCAACGTTATGAAGGTTGACATTTCCTCTTTGTTTTTTTTTTTTGGAGAATTTATGCTTTGGTTGATGCTAATCGCTTAAAACATTTTCAAAATTTTGTTATAGAAATATGAGATGTCCCGATGAAATATTCACACCCTAACTTAATATTCGAATTTAAGAAATTGTTAAATTTATATATATGTTGACAGTTAAAAAAGGGCATAATACTTTAATGAATTTTTTAATTATTTAAAAAGATTTAAAAAAATTATTTAACTAAATATATATATTTTTATTTTAAATTAAATATATTTTTATGACTAAATATGTCATATGATTACGTCATTATGTTATATAAACATATCATGCTACCATCCATTACAACATATCAATATATTAAATCAGTATAACGTGACATAAAATAACCAAAAATAGTTAAGTAATGATAATTAATCAATTGTTAATTGTAAAAATTTATTTAATTTAAAATAAAAATATAAAAATTTAATTAAATAAAATAAAAAATAAAAGTAACGTATACATGTGATTCCTTTTCTTTTTCTTTGTCTCTTTGTACTTTTTTTAGATTAATAATTTATAAATAAAAAATAATTTATAGATTAATACGGGGAATTTCATCAAAAAGTTATATATATATATATTAAAATTTTAAAGTTTGTAATATAAACAATTAAAATTTGACATATTAATCTATAAATGATTCGATATTATTAGAATTAAAAAAATTTTGGTAACATTTATTTAACATAATAATAATTTTTATTTTCAAATTAGATAAAACCTTATTAATTAATATTTATGAATGAAAAATATTTACAATGATAATATAAAATTATAACTTTTGTCAATCAAAGGTTACATCAACCTCTTGCGCATTTCAAACAATACTTAATTAGTATTACACCCGTATCTGATCCACTGTTTTCTTCTTAAGCATAGCTACTTTAGCCTTAACGCAATGTATGTAACTAAAACTTAAAAAGGATGCATGCATTGAAGGCCGGACAAGCTGGAAGAAAACCTTTGCACCTACGCTAAGGCATTGACTAGTTTGGTGGTTAATGTATTAATTTCCAGAGGCTCCTCCAAGGGAATGACTTTCTTTTCCCAGTCTTTACGTTCTGCTTTTATGCCTTTCTTGTCTCAGTCTCGACGTTCTGCTATTAGTCCATGTATAACGCGCTTTTGAGGGGGTGGAGCGAAGAATACTGGCTTCAAAGTACTGAAAAGGAATTTCTTTAACGGTGGCAACTGAGAAAGAACCATAACAATTTCACCAGTAGTCACATTATTGCTTTCACATGTAGGGTAGAACTTTGTACTAAAAAACAGAGGAAAGAAAATCGTCAAGAACGTCATTGTGGATTTAATTAGAGTTTTATATAATTAATGACAGTAATGAATTCGTTATTTTTTTTATAACTTTGTTAGAAGGAGATTAATAAAAATAATAATTTATATATTAATATTTAAATCTTAAAAATTAAAAAAAATCATTTTATAATTTTAGATTTTATTAAAAAAATTAAAACTTAAACTACTCTCTTTCTCCTTCAAAAAAATTCAAGATATACTCTTGAGACCTGTAATAAGGCTTCTTCTTCTCAATCCTGGGCTACATTTTTTCACTATCTCAAAAACAACTCATTTAGTAATTTTTAATTCAAATTAGATTTTTAAATATTTCATGTTTAAATCTTTTTTGAGTAATTTGATAATTTGGGAATCACAAAATCTGGTTAATAGAAAATAGTATTTCATGTCAAATAATATCTAAAAATTACGAGTCTATCTTTTTTTATTTATTTTATGAATATATTATTTGATTATTTGATTTTTATATTTAACCTCATATGATTTGTGAATGTTGTTTATACTTAGTTTTGATTCATAAATAGACATTTGTCAAATTATTAATTGTTGACACCACTCATAAAAATTTCTAAGTATGCCCCTGTTGTGGATGGATGGCCGAAAAAAAGGAAGAAATCTTGTAATAAATGTTAATTAAGCTTTCTCCATAGGTAACAAATTTTTGGTCAGCAATTGTACCTAGTGGTTGAACCCAATTCTCCCCTTCCAATTTAATAACAACTAAAAATATCAATTGCAATCAAATTATTGATCTTGAAAATTCGTTTAACCCACACAAAAAGGAAAAGAAAACCTTCTACTTAAATCTCTAAAATTAAAATAATGATGAAAAATTGATAATGATATTAAGAAAAAAAATTTAATTTAATAATTTTACCACAAAAAAAAAAAGCAAATATTATGTATCCTAATTGTATAGTTAAAGAAGCAAGCGTGGCATTGCAAACAATACTTAATTAGTATTAGACTTGAAATTTTGCTTAGTTGATATTTTTATATATTATTTTTTATTAATAAATTTTATTTTTATTTTTTTCAAAATATAAAAGCAAATTGTAAATATCATAAATGTCAACCAAACAAAGCATAACTGGTTATACTTGTTAAATCGAAATTCTATCAAGCAATCAAAGCACAAAACCTTAATATGATTTGATTGTTCTTTATTATTGCTTATAGCATCTCTGCCCTGTAGCCATGAAATGATAGTTCCATAATGCAAATATTTGACTATAACTTCTCTATTTAATTTCATATGATAGTGAAAAGAAAAAATTGATTGTCTTCAAGCCTCAGCTGCACATGCACTACTGGCTCAAGGTCATTATTCGTATAATAATAGGGAGGCAGGGGTATAATCCTCTATAACCTCAAAGGCTGCCCTTAATAGCTGAGCTGTAACTCTGATCATATTGTCTAGACCAGAGCATGACACCACCATACTTAGGAGAAGCCTTGATAGAAGGTAAAACTTGAGAGGTAAGCACATCAGGCGGGATGTACCCACTTCCGGCCGCCTCCGGAGCTGCAGGCAGTCCCAAAAACACTTGGCCAGCTTGAATTGTTGTCCACTGATTATTCCATGCATTGATAAGGTTGTTTGCATCGCCAGAATATTGACAGGGAGGGTTGTTATAGAATTGAACCCAAACGAAATCGAAAAGGCCAGTGCGTATTGCGCCATCTAGCCACGCATCTGGGAATGGACACTGGGGAGCTGCACTCAAGTATATTTTCTTCTGTGACTGTTGGCCAAATCCTGATAGAGCCTTGGCAAGCTCGTCCCAGTATTGGGCTGTTCCTCCTTCAATGTCGAAATCTATGCCATCTAAGACAGCGTTACCCAGTGGACGGGAGCCTGATTGACCCCCGAGAAAATTGTTCCACAAGTAATCTGCAACCTGCCTGCATGGGATATTAAGAAATAACAAACATTATATTTTTTTCATTTCAGGAGATGTTGTACTAGTAAGGACACGAGCGAATAAAATGCGATACTTACCTGGCATCGTCTGGTGAAGAAAGGACGTAGCTTCCTGCGCCTCCTCCAAGGGAAAGCAACACCTTAATCCCCTGCTTTTGACAGGCCTCAATGTCACTGCTCAAACCAGTGCAAGTATTGGCGGCTGGGTCACAATGGCCAGCAAGGTTAAGTATTGGGGTCTGGCCATTTCCAAAAGTGACTAGGAAAGCAATGTTGACAATCCCATAATTGCCCGTGGCGCAAGCATCTGCCAAGCTGCCCTCATTTCCATTCTGGCCCCAATAAATAGAAATCTGGGCAGCGTTGGAGTTATTGATCAGAGCAGCGAGGAGAAGGCAGAAAAGAGGTAGAGAGGTTAGAAATTGCATAGCCATTGTGCCTTCGAACAATAACTTGCTGGGCTTAACAAGGAAAGGAAGACGGGTCGTTTTATAGGCAATCGGGAACGATTTTTCTTGTCCCAGTCCTAACGTTCTGCTATTAGTCCAATGTATACCGCGTCTTCGAGGAGGTGACATGAATTTCGTCAATGGTGGCAACCGAGAAAGAACCAAAACAATTTCCTTCAGTCACATAATTGCTTTCACATATAGGATAGAACTTTGTACTAAATAGAGAGGAGAGTAAAGTGTACATCCCTGTATGGATGGTCCAAAGAAAAAAAATTTGGCAAATATTAATTAAGCTTTTCCCCCAAGTAACAAATTTTAAGTAAACAACTGTAGTAGTCCAACCCAATTGTCCCCTCCAATTTAATAGCAACTAAAATATCAATCACAATCAAATTATTAAGAAATTCGTTCAAGTGACACAAAAAAGAAAACTTTCTTAAATCTCCAAATCGAGTATACCCTCATGTTCGTTGTTGACATTTCCTCTCTTTCTTCTAATGGTTCTTAATTTACCTCTAATCTATGACTTGAGTGCGAACATTACCCCATCGTTAAGGCATTAACATCTTTAATTTGATTAACTTTAAAACTCACATTTTCCATTCTCTGTCAGCTAATGCTAGCATCTACAAGACCCAATTTTATTTATTTACATTTAAAGCAACAAGAAAAATCATTTTCAAATTGGAAGAATGAAGCAAACACGTAATTTGCATTTGGCAAAAGGTAAATAAATTATTATACTAATATAATAAAATCACTGGGCAAGCAAGTTATTCTCAGGGAAAAATCAACAAGGCGTTAGATTTTTGTTTTAAAAAATTCAAGCAGAATTATCTAGAGACAGACAGACAGACAGACACACACACAGCTGAAAATAAAATTCCTGAATTATAAGCCCGTTGATTGTTCTGGCCAATTGGATTTCGACAGCTGTTCAATCTCTGTTAGACGGCGAAAACACTTGCGCAGAAGATAAATCTTTGTCCCCCTAAGCCTCGTGCACGACCTCCACGTGGCACGAAACTCCTAGACAGTTCGCTGGAAGGGAAACAAGC